TAGGTTCTTTGGCATGTTGACGAATGAAGTAATTGCTATTCTTTCTAGATGGAGTTGAGGCTTCAGAGTCGGAGAGAGAGGACAGCCTCCTTGAGAAACCGAAGAAGAAGAAGAAGAAGGAGAAGAAAGCGAAAAAAGACAAGAAAGAGAAGAAAAAGGATAAAAAGAAGAAAAAGAAAGCGAAGAAACATGTATGTATTAATCAATAGTTTACTAAAAGTCCATTCTTTCGCATTCTTCCACAGCTTTGTTCATATTTTGAAGGTGTATACGTAGTACCTGTGGTCTTCTTTGTATAGGCAATTAGTTCTTATTTCAGAAGAACAGTAGTGACGGGGAGGAGAGCGAAGAGTGGGTAGAAGTTACGCATGACATGAGAATGGAGGAAGCAGCCAGAGAAGCGCGAGAAGAGCAAGAAATGCCAGGACCTGCTCTTCCTGAGCATCTAAACGCTCGAAACCAACTCGGACTTAATATCAAGGCAAAGTATGTCTTTTCTCTAGTGTTTTATCTATGTTTGATACTTTACTTATTTTTCTCCCTTTCCTATTTTTCTCTTGATGAGAGGACCAACGCCTTCAAATTGTTATTATGTTTATAGCTATGGCAAAGACATGCTCAAAGGAGAGGCTGCAGCAATGGCTGCATATGCTGCTAGAGGAGAACGTATTCCAAGAAGAGGTCAGGCTCATGATATCACATATCCCAAAATTTACCTTTTTTGTTGTCTTTAGGTGAAATTGGCCTGTCTTCTGCTGAAATCAGTGAGTTCGAGAAAGTTGGTTATGTGATGAGCGGTACCAGACACAAAGCCATGGAAGCTACTCGGTTACGCAAGGAGAATCAGGTACATATGGATAATCTTTTTTTATTACTCTATTTATTGTCTGAGCCCCTCATTATTTATACATCTTCATCGTCTTTTTTAACCTTGCAGTCATTTCAATTTTATTCAGGTGCTGACTGCCGAGGAGAAACGCCTTCTTTCCGGCTTTTCTCAAGAGGAACGCAAAAAGAAGGAAGCTGCCATGTTGGAACAAATGCGCAGCTTGATAGCGTCAAAACGTGCAGAATAGTTGAAATTTGTATGATTGTGTTTAAATTGATGATAAACTTTCACTTTTGAGTATCTTTTTTTTTACGTTGATACTTGCATATTAATATTCGTATGAAAAGATAAATTACTATTGTGATAGATTATAATTTCTTGTACAGAATCTTAGCCTTATAGAAAATTCTTATTTGTGAACTATCTTTTGCTCTAATTCATCAGTTCACTAGTGCTTCACCTTTTCGTCACAAAGGCTTGCTATGGCTTTTGCGCGAGCATTTTTCCCATGAAAAATTTAGGTAAAATCATGTCCTTTC